TTCCATGTTCATGAACCTTGGGGTTGTTCCAGATTTGGGCTAATAGGAACATTATATTAATTGCATTTCCTTGGTTACTAACAGGGTTGGGCATCCTTCATATGTCTGTTGGCTATTTGGATTCCCTTTTCTGAAGTGCATATCAGGGTTTTGGGGGGCTCATTTTTCTATGTTTTGTTTATTCCTTACTGATTTACAGACATTCTCTATGTATTGAGCTCTCTGTCAGTTTTATGTGTCCCTCATATTTTCTCCCACTCTGTGACTTGCCTTCTCACTCTGTTAATGTTGTCTTTTGATGAAGAAAATTCTTATTTTTAATGTACTCAAATTTATCAGTTTTGTTTAACCTTCTAAATACTTTTTTTTCTTGTTTTTTTTTTTTCAACTTGTTTTTCACATATACCTCACCTGGAATTGAATTTTGTGTATGGTTTGAGGTAGGGGTCTCATTTCATGTTTTCCTTGTGGATACTCAATTTTCCCAGCCACATACATTTTTAAAATAGTTTTTTTCTCTATCTTCCTTCAATTTTGTCTTTGTCATAAATCAAGTGTCCATATATATCTGGGTCCTTTAAGAACAGTCTATCCTATTCTATTAATCTATTATCTGTCCTTGAACAAATATTAGGCTGCTTTAACTAATGTAGTGTTATTTTAACTCTTGATATAGGGCAGAACAAATCGTCTCTCTTCTTTGTTCTTTAGGAGTAGCTTAACTACTTTTGGGCTTTTCATTTCCATGTACATTTTAGAATCTGCTTGTTGTGATTTCAGTTGGGACTGCAGTAAATCTATACACCAAGTTCATGTAGGATTGGTATTTTTATGACATTGAATCCTTCAGTGCATGAATATGGTGTTGCTTCTCATTTATTTAGGTCTTCCTTGATAAAAATTTATAGTTTTCTGCATAGAGGTCTTGAAATGTTTTGTTAGATTTATTCCTAGGTACTTGATATTCCTTTCAACACAAATGTAAATGGTACACTTTTTCTTTTAAATTAATATTCTGGCTGTTACTAACACAGAGAAATGTAGTTGATTGTTGTATAATGAGTAGTCTTGAGAAACTCATAGTTTCTAATATCTTATAGATTGTTAGTTTTTCTATGTATTCAATCATTATCTTCAAAATAACAGTAGTTTTCCTCTTTCCTTTGTAAATCTTTATGCTTTTTAGTATATTTTTCTTGCCTTATTCTATTGATTGAAACCTCTACTCTAAATGTTGTAGGGAAGTAGTTATTATGGGCATCTTTGTGCTTATCCTTATTTCCAAAGGAAAGTATTTAATATTTCATTATGAAGTTTCATGTTTGCTGAAGATTTATTGTAGATAAACAATATCACATTAATAATTCCCCTTTTGATTAAAGACTTAAACATAAGACCTAACACCATAAAAACCCTAGAAGACAATCTAGGCAAAACCATTCAGGATATAGGCGTAGGCAAGGACTTCATGATCAAAACACCAAAAGCATTGGCAACAAAAGCCAAAATAGACAAATGGGACCTAATCAAACACCACAGCTTCTGCACAGCAAAAGAAACAGTCATTGAGTGAATCGGCAACCAATAGAATGGAAAAAAATTTTTGCAGTCTACTCATCCGACAAAGGGCTGATATTCAGAATCTACAAAGAACTAAAACAGATTTACAGGAAAAAAACAAACAAGCCCATTCAAAAGTGGGCAAAGGATATGAACAGACACTTTACAAAGGAAGACATACATGAGGCCAACAAACATATGAAAAAATGCTCATCATCACTGGTCATTGGAGAAATGCAAATCAAAACTACATTGAGATACCATCTCACGCCAGTTAGAATGGCAATCATTAAAAAATCTAGAGACAACAGATGCTGGAGAGGATGTGGAGAAATAGGAACACTTTTACACTGTTGGTGGGAGTGTAAATTAGTTCAACCATTGTGGAAGACAGTGTGGTGATTCCTTAAGGATCTAGAAATAGAAACTTCATTTGACCCAGCAATGCCATTACTGGGTATATATCCAAAGGATTGTAAATCATTTTACTATAAGGACACATACACACGAATGTTTATTGCAGCACAGTTTACAATAGCAAAGACTTGGAACCAACCCAAATGCCCATTGATGATAGACTAGACCGGGAAAATGTGCCACATATACACCATGGAATATTATGCAGCCATCAAAAACGATGAGTTTGTGTTCTTTGTAGGGACATGGATGAACCTGGAAACCATCATTCTCAGCAAACTGAAATGAGAACAGAAAATCAAACACTGCATGTTCTCACTCATAGGTGGGTGTTGAAAAATGAGAACACATGGACACAGGGAGGGGAGCATCACACACTGGGGTCTGTTGGGGGGAAATAGGGAAGGGACAGCAGGGGGTGGGGAGTTGGGGAGAGATAGCATGGGAGAAATGCCAGATGTAGGTGATGGGGAGGAAGGCAGCAAATCACACTGCCATGTATGTACCTATGCAACAAGCTTGCATGTTCTTCACATGTACCCCAAAACCTAAAATGCAATACAAAAATAAAAAAAGATTCTCCTTCTTTTTCTAGTTTGCTGATAGTGTTTATTTAAAATAATAATAGAACATTATACCTTATAATTGCTTTTTTCATCTGTGAAACAATCACGTATTTTTGCTTTATATTCTCAATGTGATGAATTACATTGATTTTTTTTAAACATTAAGCCAGCTTTGTGTTTTTGAAATAAACTAAATTTAGTAATGAAGTATCCTCCTATTTCATATCCCTGGATTCAGACTGCCTTTTTCTGTTGTTTAGAATGTTTGCATCTACATTCATATATGAAATTCATCTGTTATCTCCCTTCTATGAATTAAGGTTTCAAGTCTATGTTAGTCTCAAAAATGAGGTGAAGAATATACCTTCTTACATTTTCTGAGAGTCTAAAAGATTGCATTATTTCTCACTTAAATATTTTGTGAAATTTACACATGTGCAACTTTATTACATAAAAAGGGCCATCTTCCAAGTTACATTAAAATCTACACAATTATATAAAATTTCAATTGTAATAAATTATAATCATGTAAAATTATAACCACATAATTAAAAATTTTAAAATTGCAAATAGATAAAAATCACATAAATTAGAATTTTACAAAAATTACATAATACATTACAAAATTGCATGACAGAATCTTCCCCAAAACAGGCTTTGGAGTCAGATTGTCTCTGCATGAATTTTGGTGCTGATGACAGGCTGTGCAATCCTGTGCCCATCTCTTCACTTCTCTGAGTGCTCAATGTCCTTCTCTACCATGTGGGTTTGCTAAGGGTTCCTCTACCTCCTTCAGATGTCAAGAGGAGTAAATCAAACAGTGATATGTAAATCACTTCACCCTGAGCTTGGTCTAGAAAAGGTGTTTAATATTTGGTAACAACGTTCATGATCATATGTTAAAATTTAATTATTCACTCAGGTGTTTATTGAGCACCTATTGTGGGGCCAGGCACACTAGATACTGGGGAAGCAAAAGGTGGCAAAATTGGATGTGGCCTTTCTTGCGCTCGGAGCAAGGATTCAGCATTTGTTCCTGCAGGTCTGTAACCCACCCCCACTGAAATGAAATGGAGGCCGATGTTTACTGTGCCACTTCTGTGCACCTCTTTTGAGCTCTGCATACTACTTTTGTGCCAGACAGGCAAGAATCAATGAAAGCATCCATTTCTGCTAGGTGGCAATCAGAGCCTAATATTGAGCTCTTCGGAAACCAACTCATAGCAGGCATATGCAAGGGCTACTTCCTTTAGGAAAGGATGGAAGGGGCCTTGCTTTTCCTAAGCTAGGTTTCTCGGTTATATTTCTTGACAAGGGCCAAATGTGTCATACGAAGAACTGTTTTCATTGTCCCTGTTTTCCCAGTTTCCTCCAAATCCCACCAGCTTCTCTGCTGCTGCAGGGAGTTTACAGGAAACACGTGCACAAAAGGAAGAACTTGCTGAGAACCTGGCAAACTGGAAACAGAATCCAGGTGGCTGAGGTCTAATCCTCCCCTTCCCCAGGTAATTTCTCTCCCGTGAGTGTGAACTTGTGAAATCAATAGTTTTCAGGTGGCCCATGGCTCCTCCAGTATTTCTGGAAGTCTTTACACCAGTGCCTTTTTTTTGTGTGTGCCGTATGTGGCTTTGAGTCTCCACTGCACGTTTCTCAGGTGGTTTTGTGAGGCCTCAGGAATAATAACTATTCATTGGCTTTGTGTGAGGATTCAGTGAGACACGTCAGGAATGCGGCGATGTCTGGTTGGCAGCACAGAATAAGGCTCATTTATGGAACTGGTTGTTGGGTCAGGTGGGGCAGTCTAGCTGTAGATATACAGATACAGACATCAACGAACATGTAGATGGAGATACAGCTATAGATAGATGCACATGTACACATACATATAGTATATTCACATACAGCTAGTGCTCGACTTATGACCACGGTCGGGACCGAGGACCGGTCATAACACAATTTGGTCGTAAGTTGAGTAGGCTATATGTGCAGTTGAAATGGTGCACGTGGAGATGGTAGTGCTGCCGGAAGCTGGTCTGCACTGTCGTATGCCCAGCTGGGAAACGTTTGCGCTGCCAGACGCGGAGCAGTTGTGGCTAGCGATTGTGGTCGTAAAGTCGAATGGTCGTAAGTTGCATAGGTGGTAAGTTGATCAATACCTGCAGGCATGTGCCACCATGCCCAGCTAAGTTTTGTTTTTTTTTGTTTTTTGTTTTTTTTTAGTAGAGACAGTGTTTTGCCATGTTGGCCAGGCTGGTTTTGAACTCCTGACCTCAAGTGGTCTGCCCGCTTTGGCCTCCCAAAGTGCTGGGATTACAGGTGTGAGCCACCATGTCTGGCCTAATTCAACATTTTAACAAATAATCTAGTGCCTGCTATGTGCGATTCACTGTATTCATATTTACATGAGTAGGTCAATTATTAGTCCTATTTGTGAAATCCCTAAAAAGAATGGAACATCTGAGTTTCTGTAAGTAGTGTCGGAAAAACTGTTTTCCCAAATGAGCGAAGATGGAGCAATGGGACTTTTGGGGGTGGGCTTCACAAGTTACCTGCTAATCATTGATCTCCATGTAGGTCTAACCTGGGCAGTGAGACATGGCCGTTCGCGGGCACTACTGCAGAAGACCTGGCATTCTGCCTCCTTGTGGAGTCAGACTTTGGCCCACTGCAGTGTTTGCCATTGTGGGGGCATCAGATGCTGATGGGCGGAATGAATGTGGAGGAAGTTGGCTTCACTAAGGCAGGGAATGAATGGCCACCACTGCTTTTGTGCCAAAGGACTGAGCCTCCCTGGGAGAGTGGACAAGAACAGGCTGGAGGAGGGGTGCCCTTCATCATCTTGTGAGCATCTGGGCCAAGTTCAGGGCTGGTGCTCTCTTTCCGATAGATTCAGCTGGTGGCACAGAGATCTGTGAGCTTGCTTTTGCGGGACTTTAATGATATATACAAGCAGCACGAGGTGCTCCTGACTGTGGATTAATTTGGAGATGACTTTCTCTGTTGAAGAGTGGCAAGACTCTTGCAAGTTCTTAAAAATACACTTGTTTGGTATGAGAATAAAAAGGAGTGGCTGAAGAACCGGTCTTCTATGGGCAAGGCTTCTCTGGTAAGTTAAACAAATTCAGGCTGGGATTTAGAGGAATTTGTGCTCCTGTGAGGATTAGGGCATGCCAAAGAAAAAACTTTAGTATGCAAAATTATTACTGGGAGGCGATTTAGAAATACAGATACTTGCGTTTATTTGACAGATCTGGAGCAGTTACTGTCTGCTGCAAATGTTGCCACTACACAAGCCATTAGATTTCTGTTTGATTGTGGCCACCAAGACTAAATGGGGGAACATCGGAATTACAAAAGCATGGAGGAAGGGAGGGAATTTTTTGCAACTCACGAATAACCTTGTAAATGGAAGAGCCTGTTTTACCCCCCAAAATGGAATAAAAAACTTGAGTTTATATGAGAAGTGTTAAAAATATATTTCCCCTATACCTTTGCCTTCTGGTTAATTCTGTTTTAAAATTATAATTTAAAGCAAAATTAAAAGTAAGCCAGTGTTGTGGGGGCATGGAGTGGAATCCAGGTACCTGAGCCCCACTTCCCAAGATGTGGACTTAGCTGGTCTGGGATAGATCCTAAATTCAGAATTTCTAACAAGCTCCCAAGTATGCTGATGCTGCTGGTCTGCACATCATACCTGGGATGGCGCTAAGTGAGAGGTTGTTAATTTTCCATTTTTGGAGGTATTGAGCAGAGAATGGTTCTCAAATTTGGCTGCATTACAGTCAATTAAGGAGCTTTAAAAAAGTCCTAGACGAACAACAGCAGAAAGTCCTGTAAAAGCAAGCTCACGGATCTCTGCACCATCAGCTAAGTCTATCTGAAAGAGAGCACCAGCCCTGAACTTGGCCCAAATGCTCACAAGATGATGAGGGCTGTGGGGTCCAGGCATCTGTATTTTTAATAGCTTCCCACATAGCTCGGTGTGTAGCCAAGGTGAAGAACTGCTGCTCCAGGAGAAAATTATTTGAGGCAACGACAGCCAAAGGTCATAGTCATCATGAGGGGTCAGAATCACTTTGGAGACCACGAATATTTTGTAACACTTCCATCCTATCTTGAAAATCACAGATTGTATAATCTACTTACGCATCCTTAAAAAAAGTTCTTTCTGTAATATAAAGGAGAAACAATGAGAAGTTGAAAAAAGTAACTTTTGGTAAATATATATATATGTACATATTATATATATATATATATGTGTGTACACACACACACACACATATATATATATATATATATATGTATATCTGATAGGCAAATGCTTGAGCACGAGTTCTCTAGAAGACATAATAAAATATCCAGGTGTTTTTCCTGTAAGAACGTGACCCTGACAGCCCCAGATCCAGGCCAAGCCTGGAGCATAGGACCAGTGACTCAGACATTACTGGCTTGGTGTCATGCTGCCTTGGTTTTCCAAATGGGTGAAAAACGCTCAGGAAATTTCTGGACACAACACCACACCTCGACTGACTCTGGGTTCCTGCATATTCTGTTCATACTAAACCAGGCAATAGTGCTCTGTGATTACATGTCAGAGAGTGAGGGTCTAGGGTAGGGTCATTATCAACTGGTTGTTCCCCAACATGCATTTTAGGCTCAAATCTGAGCATTTCAGAGATTCGAGCTTCCCCCTTCCTCCCCCAAAGGCGAGGATGTCTCCACTGCCATTGAGCAATCACAAGCGCACCCTCGCGTGTCCCAGGGCTCCCCGTGAACACTGACGCGGAGCAAGGACTGAAGGTGAGCTCACCGAAACACACTGGAGGCCAGCTTCACCTTCCCGCAGACCAGGGCTGGTGGGCGAAACTGTGCTTTCCCACCCGGGTGGCTGCAGGCGCCAGCGCATTCAAGGGGTGGAGAGAGAAGGGCTGCGGGCTTCCAGCCCAGCTTTACCCTCACTGAAAGTCTGGGTTCGGGTCCCACTCCCTGGCATGAAAAGGGGCCCTTGTAGAAGAGCTAAAGGAGCTTCCTTCACATCCCTTGCACTCGCCCCCTCCCTCAAAGATAATCCTGGGAAATATTTAGCGATCTCCAGTGCCCTCTAGTGGCAGATACTTGTCATGCCAGGCACCAAAATATGGTTAAATTAATTTTTATTGTTTAAAAACCTACACAAGCCCATCCAGGTTTATATATTAACAACCTCAAGCTTTCCTGCATTTCCTTTTATCATCCCAATCTTACTACACCCCTAGAGAATATTTCCTATGCATTTACAAATGATATATATGTATATAATATATATATATATTTTTCTATATGTTACATAGAGATGTAGACATGTAGAAATATATATTATGTGTGTACATATAAAGTGTATGACATATATAAACAAAATATGTTTTGTATGGAATATATTTATATATATTTTATATTTACAAATGTAAAACATATTTAATAACTATATAAATATATAAAAATATAGTACCTTTAATTATATATTTATACATGTTTATATAAAGTTTATGTTTACATTGATAATATATTTTTATGTACTGTATAAAGTCTGAAATATATTGTATAAGGTTTATTTTTATTTATTTATTTATTTTTGAGTCAGGGTCTTGCTCTGTTGCCCAGGCTGGAGTGTAATGGCACTGTTCACTGCAGCCTCGACCTTCTGGGCTCAAGGGATCCTCTCACCTCAGCCTCACAAGTGGCGAGGATTACAGGCGTGAGTTACTATGTCTGGCTAATTTTTTGTAGAGACAGGGTCTCCCTGTGATGCTCAGGCTGGTCTTGAGCTACTGGGTTCAAGTGATCCTCCCATCTTAGCCTCCCAAAGTGCTGGAATTACAGGTGAGAGCCACACACCCGGCCTGAGGTTTTTAAACACAAAAGTGATCTGTTTAACTGCTGCATAGTGTTGTGCGGTGTGAAAATAACTTTATTTATTTCTCTCCCCTACAGATGGACATTTACATGGCTTTCATTTATCTTCCATTACAAGAATATTTTGTACATGCGTGTGAGTTTTTCTATAAGAAACACTTCCAGCTTTTCATTTAAGTCAGAGACTCAAACCTGAAATGCAAAAGCTTGTAAAACTGTGAGGTGTTATCATCCCACCAAAGGAATGAAGTGAGGGGAAGTTTTATAAACTTGGAACGGAAAAAAAACACTGGATATGGGGGAGGGGTGGGGAATGGGGGCTCGTTTTCACCCAAAGCTGTATTCAGGCCCTGGGGCTTTTGTTTTTATATTTACTTAGAACATAGATAAAACTTTTATCTGGTTCAAAATTCAACAACAGAAAGGTGTTAGATCTCATCTTCCTCATCCTTCTGTCTTCCAGCCTCACAGTTCACCTCCGCAGAGCCAGCCAAAGTCACCAACGTCCTCTGTATCCTTCCAGAGAAAGTTCAGGCATAAGCAAAAAAAAAAAGTCTTTCTCTTTCTCATTTTCCCTTCAAAACCCACCAATAATTGTACATGATATACATAGCCTGCCCCTTTTTCTTGTTAAATAATGGGAGATTATGCCATTATGAAGAAAAAGAGTCCTCCATTCCCTTTGTCTGGCATTCCATTATGTGAATGAGCTGTTACTTATTTAGCCAGTCCCCACCTGAAGGACACTTGGTTGGTTCCAATCTTTACTATGACAACAGTGCCACAGTGAGTCACCTTGTACAACTGTCATTGTGCACATGTGTGGGGACACACGGAGGATGCAGTGCTGGTAGTCAAATTCCTGGCTCAGAGGGTTTTTAAAAAGAACCACAGGTTGCCATCTGTGGAAGCCTTGCCAGTTTGTAATCTTGTGTGATCAGCCTCACCTCTACAAGCACCAGAGTCATCCAGTGTTGTGTTATTTGAGAACTGGATAGGCAAAAAATGGTATCTCAGGGCGCTTTATGGGACATGCTAAAGAATGAGTGCAGCCACATATGTTTTCAAACACTGATAAGGGGCCCTGGAGCTTTAGTGCCTTTCTTTAGAGGAATCTTGGGTGCTGGTCTTACCGACTCAGAGCCTCTTCCTCAATCTGCATCGCCTTAGCTGACCCTGGAGCACTTCAGGGCATTACGTGGATTTGGGGTTTTCTCATCCTGCTCTCCTTTCTTTGGGAGTGGCCTCCAAGGCTGCCGTCTTCCCATCCTCCTATCTCTATCTCAGCCACGCTATCCCACTCCTGTCCAAAAGCCACGGGCATGAGCCATTCCAGAGGGACCTGACTTTGCTGAAACGAATGTGATAAGGGGCCTAGGTGTTGTGCTCTTCCCTCAATAGGCTCAGGCGCTCTGGCTCCCAGTCTATGACCTGCGATCCCCTCGTGTCCCATGTGTGTAACCTCTCCATCCAATAGCATAAGCAATTCTCAAACAGCCACGTGATCTGAATGCCTCCAGGCATGCCCTGCACTTCCCAGCTTTGCATCCTGGCCTGTGCTGCCCCTCCGCATGTGATGCCCTCTTTGAGTCTGGCATGGGTGCGTGGCCGCCTGCTGTAGCAGCTCAGTCCTCGGGCCCGTGAGCTTGCCCTACACACGCTCCTGTGGCACCGTCTTTGTAGGTGGTGGCCACACCAGGAAACGTTTCCCAGACTCTCATTTCTCTTGAAAATTGTGTCATCAAATTTCAGCACATCTTAAGCAGTTAAAAAGAAAATTAACATGCAAAATTAACAGAAGAAAGGGGAAGAAGGAGAAAATGCAGTCTGCCCTAAAGCTGTTCTTAACCATTTTTGGAGTGATTTCATATTTTTTAAAGCTTTAGGCAAAAAGTACAATTGTATTGATATTTGTATCTTGCTGTTCCATATTCAATGCAATTCAATGTGTAAAAGCTGCCGCGGTGGCACTAAGTGACAAAGAGTTAGTCTTCCCACCCACTGAGTGCATGGACCCAGAACAGAATGGGGCCCGAAGCCCCACTGCCTGAGGCCGAGTTTCCATCCACAGCAGACGCGCTCTTCAGCATCTCCACCTTCGGCTGCTGTTACCTCTCTGTCCTGGCTTCCTCCAGTGCCCCAGGGAAAAAGACCCATCACATTTTGGAGGGAAATAAAGAAATAAAACTAAAGACCTACTCGATTTCGGCCTTTGGTTGGTGGGTAATAAGCTTGAGAGCACAGGCATTTTTCCAGGCTGGAGGGCAGTGGTGCCACCATAGCTCATTGCAGCCTCAAATACCTGGGCTCAAACGATCCTCCTGCTTCAGCTTCCTGAGTTGCCTGGTTACTTTAAAAAAAATATTTTGTAAATACAGAGGTCTCACGCTGTTGCCCAGGCTGGTCTCGAACTCTTAGCCTCAGGAGATCCTCCTGCCTTGGTCCCCCAAAGTGTTAGGATTATAGGCCTGAGCCACTACACCTGGCCCAGGCATTTACTTGTTTTTAAAAAGAGGGGGGATGAGTTTCTGGGGGAAAGCTAGCTTTCACCTACCTTCCTGCTACCTGGGAGGTGCTGTTTATGAATTCAGGATTCATCTGTCCACACTGATGATTTTCTTAGCTTGTGAGTTACTGAAACACAATCATTATAGATAGAAAACTTTCCCCAGTGGCCCCTTGAGACGGGTTGAATAATGTCATTTAATCTCTATAACCTCCCTCTGCAGTGCGCATGGTTACTCTTGCTTTTAATGATGAGAAAACAGAAGATAAGTCCATAGGAGGATGGAAAGTTGGTCTCAGGCAGTGGGGCTCAGGCCCTGTTCTGTTCTGGGTCCATGCACTTGGTGGGTGGGAAGACCACTAACTCTTCACTACTTAGTGTCACTGTGGCACCTTTTACACATTGAATCACAGTGAATATGAAATAACAAGACACAAATGTTAATAAAATTATCACTTTCTGCATAAAGCTTCAACTAATGTGAAATCCCTCAAAAATGGTCAAGAACAGCTTTGGAGCATATTGCGCTTTCTCTTCCCTCCCTCCCTCCCTCCCTCCCTTCCTTCCTTCATGGAGAGGTTGTTTCAGGGAGGCCTATGGGATGCGGCCTAACTCTAATTTTGGAGGCAAATGCTATGTGGGGACTTGCAGGAGGCAGCGCTGTGCTTGCTGGAGCTCAGCTCTAACTTGCGTTGGGTTTGCATCCAGCTGCTGCTTGGCCCAGGGAAGTCTCCAGCTGCTGCTTGGAAACCAACAAAAACAGCTGCGAGGGCATTTGATTTGTGCCTCCGCCATCTTTCCAGCCTCAGTCAGATGGGCATGGAGACGCTTCTAAAAGGAATGCCGTGACGGCTGCCCAGGGAGAGCCCCAGGTCCAGTTCAAACTTATATTGGTGGGTGATGGTGGTACTGGAGAAACGACCTTTGTGAAACATCATTCGTCTGGTGAATTTGGGAAGAAAGAAGTACATAGCCACCTTGGGTGCTGAGGGTCATCCCCTGGAGTGCCACCCCAACAGAGGACCTGTATGTTCGGTGTGTGGGACACAGCCCGCCAGGAGAAATTCGGTGGACTGAGAGATGGCTGTTATATCCAAGCCCAGTGTGCCTCATAATGTTTGATGCAACATCCAGAGTTACTTACAAGCATGTGTTTACCCGGCATGGAGATCCGGTGCACGTGTGTGAACACAACCCCATTGTGTTATGTGGCAACAAAGTGGACAGTAAGGACAGGAAAGTGAAGGCAGAATCCATTGTCTTCCACGGAAAGAGGAATCTTCTACTGCCACATTTCTGCCAAAAGTAACTATGGCTTGGAAAAGCCCTTCCTCTGACTTTCTAGGAAGCTCATTGGAGACCCTCATTTGGAATTTGTTGCCGTGCCTGCTCTCGCCCCACTGGAGGTTGCCATGGGCCCAGCTTTGGCAGTGCAGTGTGGGCACGACTTAGAGGATCCTCAGACCCCCGCTCTCCCCAGTGAGGATGATGACCTGTGAGAAGGAAGCAGGAGCCCAGTCAGAAGTCTAGTTTGATTGGCAGCTGTCCTGTGACGTCAGCAGTGCAGCGTGTGTCCCGCCTCATTATTACCTAGCTAAGGGGAACATGTGCTTCATCTGCGGGGTGCTGAAGGAGGTGAGTGGGCTTCGGAGTGAATGTGGCAGCTTATAAAATACCTTCACTGCTGGGCGCGGTCGCTCACGCCTGGAATCCCAGCACTCTGGGAGGCCGAGGCGGGTGGATCACCTGAGGTTGGGTGTTCGAGACCAGCCTGACCAACATGGAGAAACCATGTCTCTACTAAAAATACAAAATTAGCCAGATGTGGTGGCGCGTGCCTCTAATCCCAGCTACTCGGGAGGCTGAGGCAGGAGAATCATTTGAACCTGGGAGGCGGAGGTTGTGATGAGCTGAGATAGCGCCATCGCACTCCAGCCTGGGCAACAAGAGTGAAACTCTGTCTCAAAAAAAAAAAAAAAAAAACCTTCATTGTTTGGACTTGCTTATTTAGCTGTTCTGGAACGTAGTTGATTCCTTGACTTTCTTTTTTTTTTTTTTTTTTGAGACGGAGTTTCGCTCTTGTTACCCAGGCTGGAGTGCAATGGCGCGATCTCGGCTCACTGCAACCTCCGCCTCCTGGGTTCAGGCAATTCTCCTGCCTCAGCCTCCTGAGTAGCTGGGATTACAGGCATGCACCACCATGCCCAGCTAATTTTTTGTATTTTTGGTAGAGATGGGGTTTCACCATGTTGACCAGGATGGTCTCGATCTCTTGACCTCGTGATCCACCCGCCTTGGCCTCCGAAAGTGCTGGGATTACAGGCTTGAGCCACCGCGCCCGGCCTTGACTTTCAAATATAAGACTGCCACAGTCACATCACAATATTCAGTGAGGAAATTTTGTTTGTCATTGTCATTCCCATTCCTTTTTGGCTAGAATCAGGATAAAGTATTTCAAATATCTGAAACAAACAAACAAACAACAACAACAACAACAACAACAAAACCAGCAGTGAGCTCCAGAAGCACTGGAGTAAGTCGGTGACTTGGTGATAAAATGTCTTTCTGGAGGAGAGGGAAAACATTTCCGTTTGATTATGAGTGAAATCTGGTGGCCACTGAAACCACTTCCCATTAACTTGGGTGGGGAAGGCGGATACTTAGTTTCACATTCCCAGAGGACAGCATTCTGCAATGGAAGATGTAGCTTCACAGTATGTCCCACTCCGTCAGGACTCTGTGCTGCACATCGACTCTGATGTGAATGGCATTCTTCCTCCCTGGTGTTGTGCAGTGCCCACCCTGGGCAACCGTACACTCCAGCCCTGGATAGGTTGATTTGTTCTAGGAAGGCTGTTTGCTAGCAGGTATATGGAAAGAATGCATTTTATATGTAGAGTTAGTGTCTTTTAAAAAGAGAAAGTGGAAAAAGCCTGAAGATGCAAAAAGCGATCTCTTCACTCTGGGACCTCTCCCTCCCCCAGACACTGAGTGCTTCCCTGACAGCTCTAATCTGAGGCTCTTTGTAGGAAAAAAGACCTGGTTCTTCAGACTCTATCCATGGAAGAAGGGAACACTGGTCACGGGGAAGTGGGCTCTGCACGGGGTTCCAGACACAGCAAAAAAAAGCCTGCCGTAGGTAGGACCGGGAAAAGGGGGCCTCAGTCAAAGGGTAGGGCAGCCTCAAAGTTGACCCCAAGGCTGGGATCCGGGGGACACTTCTGTTCCCTTCTGCACCCAGTGTCAGAAGAAACAGCTCATCCCCCTTAACCCTTTCATG